GTCTGCTCATATAACCATCCACACCCAATAAAGAAGCATATATTAAAGCTTTTATACCCCATACATATATAATTCTCCTTCATTTCGCGTGGATGTCGTACGAGGCGACTAAGAGAACTTAATTGTCAACCATTAAGTTCTCTTAGTCGCCTCTTACGGGATGGATACCAGCGTACCTCTCAAAATACCACCAAAGCCAAACTGCGGTGACCAACGCACCTGCCAAGCATAGCATCTACTGGCAAAACCTCCCAAGGGGAAGTGTTATGTATATCAGTGGCCTTTTTTTATACAACTTAGAATGGCAAATTATTATATTAAAATATTATGCTGTGCGCCCAGATAAAAATTTTCAATTCAGAAAAAAATAATAAAATTTTTTTATACAACTTAGAATGGCAAACAAGCTGACGGCCCACCTGATGGAAAGCGGTAACCGTCGCCTGTAGACATAAGCAGTACCATATAATGACTGATATAGTGTAATAATGATGTGCATAATATTCGTCTTACCAAAAAATGTTATATTAATATTTGAAAGTCATAAAACAATCTTTAATTAGTAAAAACAAAGAAGTAATTACAAATATTAAAACGAACAATGAACATGCTGTTGTAAATAATAAATAGTAACAAGTAATTACTTCCAAATTAAATAAATAATTGTTCGAATTAATAATTATATCTTCGAACAACGAGAAGCGATCAGAATGGATATCCCCGGGCAATAGCATCCGTCGGGACGCGATATGCCTATTGGAGTATTTATTTGAAGCGTTGGATACGTTTAAAATACTTAAAATTACAATTATCCTATATATATATATATATATATATATATATATATATATATATATATATATATATATATATATATATATATATATATATATATATATATATTACTAATATTATAAATGCAAAAATGAGTTTTTTTTTATGAGTGAAGATGAAATGGTAACTCCGCCTACGCTGTCGGCATACGCTGGCGGGGCACCAGTGCAGGGTAAAAGATAAGGATGAAGGCAGGTCAGTTGGCCCATAGTGACCAATTGAACAATAATTAACCACTATGGTTTCCAGGGGGAACCGCGAGAAATCTCTTTACTAACAATCCCTTCCCCCTACAAAAGTGAGTTTGATTATTTATTATTTTATAACGCCTTTACGACTTACCTGATCACTATCAAATTTAATATACACGAAACTTATGGTTTGAAGAAAGATTTAGGCTACCTTTTATCCCGGTCAGTAAACATATCTTGGTCACGCGAACGAAGTCACGGGTAAAAGCTAGTGTATTATATATATATAAGTTATTGGGTCTAATGGATACTGGCTTAACTTAAGCTGATGTAAATTCTCTCATTTATCTATACGCGCATCGTATAGAAATTACCAAATAATTACATTTTAATGAATTTTGAAACGTCAAAATATGTATACGAGAATCAGTATACTTTAATTGCACGAGAACATCTAGTTTTGACATGAAAAAAAAAGACAATCATGTTATTAAATTCCAAACAATTTATCATATTGAAGACTAGGCAGCACGGTCTCCGACCTTAGCCTGTTCCACAACGGAACAAACGTACTAAAAAAAAAAATAAAGACAGAGCAATAATTAAACATAATAATAATTAAATTAATGAAAATTGAAATTAAGTACTAAATAAAATAGTTTACGATTGAAAACCATGCGACAACGATACCGTTTCACATTTCATTATTGAATCGGGAATTCGGAATACGCGTGGGAGTTCATGTTTTTTACCATTTCCAGGTAAAGGAAATCCTTTTCAAATAATAGTCAATGGATACCATAAGATAGAAAGTCCCAAAGCCGTGACTCGGTTATCTTCAAACGCTTACAATCAGCGAGGACAACAAGATGCCGAGGACTTTCCTTATTGCCTTGATTGTAATTTGAAATTCAAGGCTACACTTGAGCGTAACATTGTCAAAGCGTACAAGGAGCCGAGCCAAATTTTGTAAAGTCGAAGTGAATGCGGAACGTGTATCTAACGAGTTTGTGTCGTCCGTGTTCCATTGATATTTGTTTACTTTTTTTTTAACAATTTAAAACATTTATATCCTCTTTTTAAATTTAGGCTCTTTCTCCTTTTTATTTTCTGTCATAATGACTTGTTTTTTTGAAAATTTGCTGAATATAGTATAATCATTTTATCATATCAGCTGCTAACTGCAATTGCCAATTGGGGGGGGGAGAAGGGATTGTTAGTAATGGGGAGGTTAGTCCCCGTTACTATCAATATCAGCTCGACCTCCACATGGTTCCCCCTGGAAACTATCGTGATTAATTTATCGTTGAATTCGTCACGAGGGGCTAACTGACCTGCCTTTTCAATCTCACCTGTCACCTCTCACTGGTACCCGGCCAGTGTAAACCGATAGCGCAGGCGGAGTTAACATGACATTTTCATCCATTTAAAAAAAACTGCCAATTGAGGGGAAAGAATTGTTAATAATGCAGACTACCAGCCTCATCGCTAGCAATATACCGTGTCAAATCAACCTCCACGTGATCCCCTCTGGAAACCATTGTGTTGAATTCCTGGTATATCCATTACGATGGGCTAACTGATCTGCCTTTTCATTCGCACCTATCATCCCTCACTGGTGCCTTGCCAGCGTATACCATCAGCGCATTCAGGGTTACCATTCCATTATTTTCCTAAAAAAACTATCTACTGCTAACATAGACCTTTCCTTATTGGTGGATACTGTCAGTAAATGCCACGCTAAGCAGGCAGGTTGGCAACCACAATTAAACTTTAATGACGTTTTAAAAAAGACGCTACTATCTACCTCTCGACCATTAGATTCTCTTACTGCTACCAATCCTTACTAATAATATAAATGTCAAAGAAGGCTTGTTTGTTTGTTACCTTATAGCGTCTTAACCAATCACTATGAATTTCGGTGTACACATTTGTACAAAAGTCGATTGCTTGGGCACCTCTGTCCCATTCGTGTTTCAACCTTGAAGCAGTTGTGTTTGCATGGCTGTGTTTCGGTTGGAAGGGTGGGATATGGCGTGAATTTACTGGGTACAGAGGAATAACACCTGAGTTCTCAGGAATGGCAACGCATGGGGGGTATCATGGGCGAAACAGTATACTCTATTATGTCCATGATACTGCTTATGTCTATAGGCGACGTTTGCTACTTTCCATCAGGTGGACTGTCAGCTTGTTTGCCATTCTAAGTTGTATAAAAAAAAAACATAATATATTGGAATGGAGAGAAATATAGGGTACTTTCAATCCCGGTTAAACACATCACGGTCAAGCAGACGAAGTGAAAGATAGTAACTAATACTAAGTAATTAATGAGAGAAACAATTTGAATAGAGAAAATTGAAAAATATTGCGCAAATGCTTTCTAAAATTAATGACTCCCATTGATAATACATTCAATGGCCATTTCACAGTAGGTGGCCAATAACGAGCATGCATTGCTCCCGTCTCGCGCCATTATTATGCCGCTTAATGATCACGCTTATGGATACAACAATAATTTTAATTACTCGAACATTTGTTTTGTAGTATTAACACTCACTCCTCGAATTTACTCGAATTCAATTCGCAATTACTGACACGTTGCTAGCTTTTACAGCTTCACACTTTACCGATGAAATTTTAACTTTATTGTGCAAAGGTAAAGTTGCAAATGGAATGGATTTCTTGTTCAGTGAAATATTCAAAACGGATAATGGAATTAAGACGCTTATTGTATCGGAGCAGAGTTTGCGGCCACATTAGAAGTTTGTGTTTTCTGGATGTTTACTGTTTGCGCTTGAGAAAGCCACGTTATGGTAAATTCGCATATTGATACCCGTTACCGCAATATATACGTCGACTGTATATACTTTTTTTAGGCAACTTAGAATGATGGCCCACCTGATAAAATATGATAACCGTCGACCATAGATATAAGCAGTACCATGGATATAATAGAGTATACTGTTTCGCTCATAATACCCCCATGCGTTGCCATTCCAGAGGACTCAGGTGTTGCTCCTCTGTACATTTTAAATTCACTTTCACAATCTTTTAAACCAAAACACAGCCATGTAAATGCAACTGCTTCATGGTAGAAACACGAATAAAACAGAGGTGCCCAAGCAAACGACTTTTGTACAAAGTCTCCCTCTGGTAAGCGTATTTATTCAAGAACACCATGCACGTTAACTGATTAAATAAAATATGCAAATGCAGCAACTGTGGTTCAATAAATCACGGCCATCTCTGTGGCGTGCGAAGAGAAAGGAGACTCCGGGCAGTTCATTCTTTGGTAAATGTTTGATACATTTTTGTTTCTTTTTACAATTATCTTTATGATACTTAATAAATTGACTTAATTATTTTTTTACCCGAAAACCATTTTCAAGGAACTGTCGTGCAATGCCATTTAATAATTTCAAGCTTTTGCTTCCTTTGCTGGTGCTGTAAAATCTTTCTTTGATTAAAATTTCAAGATTATCTTGAACTGATCTAGTTAAAATGTATATTAAATGAAGACATAATTAAAGTCTTACAGTGAAAATTACTTTAATAGTAACAAAAAAAAAAAGCCGCGTAATCAAAAACTCCTTGAGCAAGTTTCAAAAAGATAGAGAATGCCAATATATTTTGTTTGTATTGCGCGATATCTTGAAAATTTCTTTTTGAAATCGATTTGAACATATTACGCCATATTGGCCCGACATTGATTTTGTCATCGTCGAAGTCCCTTTTTGGAGATAAAACATACATTATTACCTCCGGAATTTTGTATATTTAAATTTAACATATCTTTTTTACTTATGGGCGGGAGCATCTACGTACTACCCAAAACTCTTCGACTCAGTGCGTCAAGCGAACGACGAGCTATGAGAATTGTCAACTGTACCAAGCTTACAATATATCGAACATACAATATACCGGTATCGAACCCTTAAGTCTTAGAAGAGATTTTGCCTCACTCTGCGTGTTCTACCGCTTGTACAACGGATAGTGCTCAGAGGATTTGTTCAATATGATTACCCACGGCCACTTTTTACCACTGTACGGCTCGCTATCGTCGGGGACTTCACCCTCATCCTCTACAACCTAAATGGTCGCGTACAACGCGGTTTCAGAGATATTTTCTCTCACAAACACTCAGGTTATGGAATGAGCTCTCTGCCGAGGTTTTACCAAGAGATTACAGCATAAACAACGAACGCGTAATACCCTTGGTATTGCAAGCGTGCATATGTAAGCTACGATAACCGTTTACCATTAGGTGGGCCGTATGCTTGTTTGCCATCTCAGTGGTATAAAAAAGAATTCTGAATAACAAGAATAATGGCGATAGTGATTCAACTTTAGAATTTTGGTATTCTAAAATAACGTAGTTATCTCAGGCTGGCTTTATTTATTTCCACTTTATTTATATTCGCCATATTATTTGATACATTTTGATGTTTAATTAATAACATGCAAGTACGAATATTCGAAATCGTGTCTGCACATAAAGAGACGTCTCGAACTGAACTTCTTCAAAGAGCATTTGAGTGGATGAACACTCCATTGAAACTATAGTAGATTTATTGAAACGATTCCATCGATTGCTTTTCCATTAAGTGATTGAGTTCTGAATGAAGAGAAGCTATTACAAGGGACGGTTTTCAATAATATGATTTAGAGAGTCAATAGTTCAATTTCAACTTTAACCAATAACCTGTCGTAGCGTTGCTTGCAAGAATTATTTAATTCGTCAATTGAGGTGTAATAAGTTATGCATACAAATCAATACAAATCCTTTCTATTATTATTTGGAAGTGGGTTTGTTTGTTACTCTTTGATGGTAAGGCAAAATTGATATGTAAAGGGCTTCTATAAATATGGGAGTAGATTTGTTTACTTATTATTACCAGAGGGAGACTTTGTATAAAAGTCTATTGCTTGGGTACCTCTGTCCCATTCGTGTTTCAACCGTGAAGCAGCTGTGTTTGCATGGCTGTGTTTCGGTTCGAAGGGTGGGATATGGCGTGAATTTACTGGGTACAGAGGAATAACACCTGAGTCCTCAGGAATGGCAACGCATGGGGGGTATCATGGGCGAAACAGTAAACTATATCATGTCCATGGTGCTGCTCATATCTATAGGCGACGGTTACCACTTTCCATCAGATGGGCCGTCGGATTGCTTGCCATTCTAAGTTGTATAAAAAAAAATTATTGCTTGGTATTAGAGCAAATTTAAGATTAAAAGCTATCTTTTAAAACTAATAGATATGATAATAAAGTGGAATATTGTTTCGATTAAAATTATGTATTTTGCATTACAAATTATGGTGATTTGTGGTTAATATTTAGATGCCATGTTCTAAATAAAAGTTCATTTCATTTCAAACGAAGGAAATATCAAAATTTTGTTACGCAATTATGTAATAATAATATTGTATCATCATCATCATCGTCATATCAGCCTTTAACTGTTCACTGCTAAACATAAGCCCTCCCGTAACCCTTAGCCCTTGGCCGTATAGTCCCGGCATAGAATAGGCCACCCCTTCCTTTTCCATGGATGTCATAAGAGACAACTAAGGGTGGGCGGGGGCTGCTGCCCATCTAAAGCATGACTGCGGTTGTCAATCCGCCTGCCAAGCATGGCAACAGCAGTTGCCATGCTTGGCAGGCTTGCATGGCAGCAGGCAAAACCTCCAATAATATTAAACAATACACACAAAATACACTCAGACTGCAAAATTATTTCTCTCGGAGCATCATGCGGTTCACCTGATGGCGAAATTTTATGATTAAAAGATATTACAGGTATGTTGCCGGCCATTTAGGAAGGAATAGGTATACTCTTTTTTGAAGGTTCCTATGTTGTATCTGTTCGAAGAAACTGCATCCTGGCAGTTGTTCCATAGTTAAAAGTTAGTTTGAATTACCAAATCAACCATTTTAAAGAACAAATTTACAACGTTAAATCACCCGTAAATTTTATACCATTGTGATAACTTTGACTGGTTGTCTTGAACGATTCTTGTTTTGTATAATAAAAGACATAATTGGGAGTCGAAATTTTATGAATGAAATATTATTTCGAAAAAGTTACTTATTCTATATTTATTCTCGTTTACTATCTGAAATGGAAATGGATCCAATTATTTTAAAGTTTTACAACAACATTATTTCAGTTTAACTTGGATTACAAATTATTATATTGGATATAGTTCCGATAGTTACGTTTGGTTTTGGTTCTGGATACGTTTGCGAAAATACAATACTTGTGGAAACTAGTCCATCAATTTCAAAGATAAATACGTCAGTAAAGCCGATATAAATAATTACTTCCGTTAACGTTTGTTGATATTCATAACGTTTCAGTTAATTTCTTGGAAAAATCAAGGTTAATGCTGCAAAACTGTGTTTGGTTTGCGCTGTGTAATTTGAAACAAAAGGAATTTGAACGAACTAGCTTTTAAACATAAATTGCGAGCACCCGTTTCTTAGAAAAATCACTTTTCCTTTAATCTTGCTGGTTACTCGGTTTGAGTCAAGATTGTTATTTGCTCTTCTATTACAGTTAATTGTTTAATATAGTAATATTTTATGTATTTATTATATTTTTATTTAATATATTATGTGTTTGTATATATTAGTTTAATCTTTATATGTTTATATCAAGTATTACTTTATTTTCCCTCTATTCAATAATGCACCGCCTACTAATTTCTCGGTTTGCCAAATGGTTGCCTGGCGGAGAACACCGTCCGGTGTTAAGTCCGCCAAATGTTCATAGAATTTTACTATGCATTAAAGTTTAAATAAAAAAAAAATAGTTTTCTCTTTTCATCAATTCTTGTCTGTTACACATGTGTCATTAATAATTTTGAAGTGACTTTAAAATTATTTTTTTCAATATATGTATTAAACTATTTCTCTAATTATATCTTTTAATCTTATGATTTAATTTGTTAATTTTCTTTTATATACCACTGAGGTGGCAAACAAGCATATAGTCCACCCGATGGTAAGCGATTACCGTAGCCTATGAACGTCTGCAAGACCAAAGGTAATACGCGCGCGTTGCCGATCCTGAAGTATTTATAACTTTTGTAATTGGTGCAATAATGTTTAAGATAAATAAATAAGGAAACAAAATCCAAAACAACGATACAAGAAAAGGAAAACTTGATATATAACTAGATACCGAGTTCGGACAGGTTCGTAAAAGTAGAGTGCATCCTTCTCTTATAGAGAGAAACGTATGCTCAAAGGAGAGGTAAATGGAAAACGTTTTGAGACCAAACTCTAAAATTTTCATTTCTCCAAATGTTAAACAGGCAAAAACCGTACCTTCACAAAGTAAAGTAAGCAAAGCCTTACTTAAACTAATTATTTAGCAACGGCTCAGGATGTCGCGTCGATGTCGTGGCGTGGTTGCCGCTTATCTTATCTCGCCATTAGGCAAATGTCGCCGCCGACTGTCGAAGGGATTAAAGCTATTTGAAAGGCAAGAACTCTTTGAACTTGCAGATACGGGCGTAGGTTAGATACTTTTAGAGTTCTATATTTCAAAAGGCCTAAAGACATAATCACGTTCTTGTCTTTCATCTGGCCATCGAAATCTTTCTTTCAAAACGGCGATAGGAGCAAGCTAGTTGAAAGGTTTATTCCAAAACTGGCTGGAAAGCATTACACACTTTTGAAAGGAACACATTTTTAATTCGACTATATTTTATATATTTTATAAACACAGGGGGTAACCGGGTATCTGGCTCACCTGATGGTAATTATCTACCGCCGCTTATGAGCACCCGTAACACCAGAGGTATTGCAGGTATACTGCCGGCCTTTTAAAATGGATGAAGTTCTTTTTTAAAAGTTACGTATTTATGTGTATGTTGCATTATAACTTCTCAAATAATAACGGATGATGATAATTATATTTACAATTAATAGGATAGTCACTTAGTGAAATAAAAAAAAAAATAAAAAAAATGTATCTGCAAAATATTTTATTTTCTAAAGTCATACATTAAATTATGATTTGTTATCTCAAGTTTTCCAAAATCAAAACTACGTTTTAAAGATTTTGATCGAATTATTTGATTTTCTTAGAAAACTCTTTCGTAAACAATTGGTTTTATAAGTGGAATAACCAAATATTAATTATTTTAATAAATTAATAAATGTTTTAGTATAATTCCAGTTCATTTACTAATTTACAATACCATTTACTGCTCTTTAGACATACATACATACATACATACATATCTGTCACGCCTGTCTCCCATTAGGGTAGGCAGAAACAATGGAACGCCAAATGCTTCGACTCAAACAAACCTCTTTCGCTTCTTCCACATTCATCAATCTTTTCATACATGGTCGCCTATTTGGCCAACATACGTCCGTTTAGGGCGGCCCCTACCGACACCTCCATTCATTCTAGCTTGATAAATCTCTTTCGTAATTCTTCTTTCATCCATCCTCTCCATATGACCAAACCAACGCAACATTCCTTTTTCGATTTTTGTCACTACATCGTCTTTCAGTCCACACTTCTCTCTAATCACACTGTTTCTTACTCTATCTTTTAATGTAATACCACACATATTTCTCAAAGCTCATAATATATAATTAGATGGACTTATTATTTAATTAATTCTATGAATTATCAAATAAAATCAAACAATTAGTACCTACTCTTGTTATGCTTTAAAATTTCATATTTATACTGCAAAAACAAGTTTGTCAAAGCCTTTGACACGAGTTGGGCATAACTAAAGCGATCACAACTTCACGCCGAGTACGCTAAACTGGTACGAGCGTATGCAGCTGGTTAACTGGCACACAGATGAGGCGACTGATTAGGCAACTCAGACGTACTCTGTTTTGGGTAATATACACTGTTGTAGCTATTTGCGGTATATTGTTCATAAAGATAGATAAAGGATTTTTTTTATACAACTTAGAATGGCAAACAAGCTGACGGCCCACATGATGAAAAGTGGTAACCGTCGCCTATAGACATGAGCAGTACCATGGACATAACAGAGTTTTTTTTTTATACAACTTAGAATGGCAAACAAGCTGACGGCCCACCTGATGAAAAGTGGTAACCGTTGCCTATAGACATGAGCAGTACCATGGATATAACAGAGTTTTTTTTTTTTTATACAACTTAGAATGGCAAACAAGCTGACGGTCCACCTGATGGAAAGTGGTAACAGTCACCTACACTATTTACTATACTGTTTCGCCCATGATACCCCCCATACGTTGCTATTCCTGAGGACTCAGGTGTTATTCCTCTGTACCCTGTAAATTCACGCCATATCCCCTTTAACCGAAACACAGCCATGCAAACACAACTGCTTCACGGTAGAAACACGAATGGGACAGAGGTACCTAAGCAATCGACTTTTGTACAAAGTCTCCCTCTGGTAATTTATTTATTTATTTATTTATTTATTTATAAAAGACACACCAACAATATGCTCACAATAATTAAGCAGACAATGTACAATATTATTAGTAATTAAAAGAGAAAAACTACTATTAAAAATGCTTAAATCTAAGTTTGAACAAAAAAATCTTACTCCTCACTACCAAGCTTAAGGCCATATGAACATATCAATTAAAGGCGTATACAGCTCTCACAGATAAGCGTCAATGTATACTAACTAACAATTATACAACTAGAAAAGACCTAACTACCAATCCATATTATTAATAAGCCTAGTATACTGCACTAAAGAATTACCAAAGATGTCGATATCATGGTCAACGTTTACGGCTTTATTATACGATGATAACATTCTGTTGAGGGGAGAATTGGATCCTAAGTTAGTACGACAAGCGTATGTTGAAAATGTGTTAACTATTTTAGCAGTTCTAATATTGAAATTACGTGGTACTATAAAGCGTATATCCTTAACAACGTCAGGTATCAAAATAAGGCCATTTAAAATCTTGAACAACATTATAAGATCTATAATCTTTCTACGCTGACTCAGTGACTTCATCCCGAAGAATTCCAGACGATCAGTATAAGATGCAGTTATTGGACATAATTTATCTTTGTAAGCCAAGTAACGTGTGAAACTTCTTTGCACTCTCTCAATACGATCGATATGACATTGATATTGGGGATTCCATATCAGAGAAGCATATTCAAGTGTACTTCGGACGTATGCGTTATAGAGTATTTTTAATGGCCTAACACCTCTAAATTCTTTACAAGTTCGTTTAAGAAATCCGAGCATTTTATTGGCTTTCTTAACTATATTATCAATATGTCCATTAAGTGATAGTTTTGAATCCAGTATCACTCCCAAGTCTCTTACATTAGCCACCTCCTCAATGCACTCATTCAATAATTTATATTTTGTGGGTATTATATTAACATTTCGAGTAAATTTTATATGGTAACATTTAGAAAAATTTAGAACCATCCTATTAGCATCACACCACTCTTGTACCGATTGAAGGTCTTGTTGTAAAAGATCAGAGTCCTCTGACACTGATATGGACTTATATAATTTAAGATCATCGGCGAAAAGGGAGAATTTACTATATTTTATAACCTCGACGATGTCATTTACAAATACCAGGAACAAAATCGGACCCAAATGTGATCCTTGGGGTACTCCTGATACGGATTTGTAAGGAAGAGATGTAAAACCTTTGACTACGACTCTCAACTCTCTACTGTCTAAGTAGGACTCAAACCAACGAAGTAAAAATCCATGCACACCACACATTGATAGTTTACGTACCAAAATAACATGATTAACCATATCAAATGCCTTACTAAAATCGGTATATAGTGCATCTACTTGCTTTTTAGAATCTATTTCTTTGCATATATCATTCATATAGGTTACTAAATTGCTTATTGTTGATTTTTTATTACAAAAACCATGCTGATTAAACGAAATTATTACTTGTAGATGACGTGTTAAAGCAGGATAAATTAAAGATTCAAAAACTTTAGAAAATGCAGACAGAATTGAGATTGGACGATAATTTTTTATATCAGAGGGATTGCCTTTTTTAAGGATTGGAATTACGTTTGCAACCTTCCACTGTTTTGGATACCTACCTGTTTTAATTGAGATATTAAATATAACAGCAAGAGGCTTCACCAGATTCAAGGCACATTTTTTAATGAAAAGTGGAGGAATACCATCCGGACCACAGCCCTTGTTGCTATTAATTTTTCTAATAACATTCATAACGTCTCTTTCTGTGAATGTAAGAGTGCTTAGGATGCTCTGAGGAAACGTACATAGTGATTCTGAATTGTTTGTTGGATTAAAGGAATTATTTATATGAGTGGAAGAATCATATGATGAGAAAACAGATGAAAAATATGACGCAAAAAGATCACAAATATCATTACCCGAAGACATACATATGTCATCTAATCTCATTTCAGAAGGCAAAGACGATGCATTGCTTCGCTTTGAATGTACAAATGACCAAAATTGTTTAGGGTTAGATGCTATGTTATCCTCCATCTTTCGAATATACAAACCATAACATTTTCGCATCAACACTTGTGCTCTCTTATTGAGTAACCTTATTTCAATCTCATCTCTTTCATTTTTGTAAATCTTAAAACGTTTCCTAAGTTTCTCTTTCTCTTTCAAAATTTTTATTAAGGATCTAGAAAACCAAATGGGATACCTTAACGATCTAGGTTTAACTACAGGTACTGTTTCATTTATAACTGTATTTATGTGCATATAAAAAGTGTTGACCAAGGCATCGACATCCGAGGAATTGCGAAGACAGCTCCAATCAATTAATTCCAGTTTAGCGTTAACAAAGTCATAATCAGCTCTTGCAAAATTAAATCTAATATCTTGTTTCTTTTTTAAAGGTTTCGTAAATCTAAAATCCAACTGAACTTCGAGTGGTGGATGATACCGATCCACAATGGAAATAGGTATTAGAGGGCTGTCAATTATACAATGCTGAACATTACTTAAAACTAAATCTAAAATTCTATTGTTACAATTTTTAATATAATTAATCTGAGACAGATTGTACTGAGATAAAAAATCGACCAAGGTGCAACCCATACTATTACCATAATTGGTTGGAGATAAACCATATTGCATGTTTACTTTCTCCCATTCAATGAATCCAATGTTAAAATCTCCGAGAATCATAACATCATCATCTACATTGTCCAATATCTTTGAAGTGTTACCAACAAAGTGCTCTAAAGTTGCCAAAGTAACAGGTGGCGGTAAATACACCGCGCATATCAATAGATACTTTGCGGTATTACCATTCCGTATTTTCAAGCGTATCCAGATATCCTCAACATTACTTTGCCATGCATCTATACATGTAGATTCGATTGACTTTGAAACTGCGACAAGTACTCCACCGCCCTCTCTGCCAGCTGAAACCGAACACCTATCTCTACGATACACGACATAATCAGAGTTCAATATTTCAGAATTATTTATATTGTCGTTAAGCCATGTTTCAGTAGCCACAATGACATCATATTTGTTAATCATACTAGACATAGAAATATTTTTTAGTTTTGTTCTCATACCTCGAAAATTTTGATAATAGATAGTGAATTTTAAGTAATACTATAGGGTATAAGGTTATATAGTTTTACATAAACTACAAAAGTCGTACCATTTCCATGTTTTTGATTTGTTTGGCAGGGCATTCATCATTTTTACGAATCAAGATTCTGCCATCACGAACCCATACATATTTATATCCTTTTTCTCGGGCAATCCGTCTAGTCTCAGCATGTATAGCTTTGTTTAAAGGTGAAAGGTGCTCGGAAATATAAACAGAACTTTTGGCACCACTGTATCCTAAATGGTGCGAGTTTAATTTGTTATCAGCATGTGTTTTGTTATATTTAACAACTTTTGCCAATATTTCATCTCTGACTCTAATATCACTTAGCTTTACAACAACCGATCGCGGTCTATTACTGCTATTATTGACTTTTCTAATACGAGAGACGGATATTACATCCTTATCGGTAATGCCACTCGATATCACTGTGCCCAACTGAAGGACAGTCTTAACCAAGTTTTCGGATTTGTTTTCTGGTATGCCCGTAATTTCAATATTCTGCTGTCGTGTATACTGTTCCAGAAGCGCAAGCCTGACTGATAAGTCGCTTACATTAGACTTTAGAATGTTATTGTCTTCAGTCAATGTTTTAATTTTCTCCCTATTATTGTGAAACTCTGATTTGATAAGCTCAAATTCTTTACTCATAAATTCCACGGATTCCTTTAATTCACGTATAAGAGAAATATCTTTTTTCAAGTCAGCGAATTCCTTCTCAAAAGATGAGCTAACTGATACCGGTATTTGTGATGAAATTGCTGATTGCACCTCAAGACGAATCATTTCCAACAGTGCAGCATCTACAATATTTTTTTTGGGTGTAGTTTCCGTAGAGGCAGGAGGTTCAACCACAGAAGCTTCTAGACCCTTCACAGGCGTATCAGTATTATCCTGGCGTGGCAATTTGGAATTACATGAGGGGCATGTCCAGTCCTGAATAATCTTAGAATTGCGATTCAGACGAACGCAGTCCCGGTGATAACATGATTTACAACGGCAGCATACCACTGAGTCGGATGTTAAAGACGATAAAAATTTTCCGCATCCACCACACTTTGCCATTATGGTAAAAAAATTATACTATTATACAGGCAACACTGATTTTGACAACTAACAAAAGTATTATTATGGCACGCAAAAAAAACAAAAATATTGTGGGTAGATTAAAAAATTTGTAAAGACTTGGGTGTCAGTTCCAATTTAATCTTGCTAAATTATTGCTGCTTTATAGTATTACGAGATGCAAAAACACTACCAATTTGTATTCTAATATTCAACTTCACTTTGATAATGCAGTAAACACAAAACACATGTTTTTTGAAAATATATGACCATATTATGATGAGCACAGAATGTGAACTTGTGTAGGTGACATAATTTTCAATGTATTAGTAACATATGGGCTTTAAAATTGAAATAGGTAGAAATTATAACCAAAAGCTGCAGTTTAAATATTCAATGAAACACAGCCTATCTCTAACTTCAATGGACACTTTAAATAAACATTGCACGAGTCAGTGTAAATATTGTCAGAATCAATAGAGATAACAAAGAACCGCACAACTGGTTGCTAAACACTAATATAATTAAGTAACCTTACCATTCATTCAAATATATCATACACCCATACTTAACACATACAAACACACTACACTCCGTTACCTAATGTTTTATAATATAAAAATTTGTAAAAAGGGATTGTTACTTCAGTTCACAATAAAACAATGTTGTAAGAAGACGTGACCTTTGAATTTCTAAAACAGATCAAGCAAAAACATTTTTGAACCTTAAATGCTACAACACACTGTCTTTAATATTAAACTTTTATGCGATATAATATAATAAAAAAACTTCGAACATCTCGCCAGCGTAAACCAATAGTGCAGGCAGGGTAACCGTCCTATTTTACAAGCAAGGCCTATTCATGAGAAAAAAAGACGTGTTAAGAGATTGTTCTTAGAACGAGAGATAGAATGGCAACAAAACTATTTAGTGCATTAAATGTTGTATTTAAACAATATCTAAATTAAATTAAAGTAAAGATATTTTATTTATTTATTTTTAACTATAACATTTAAGTCGATTGGTACACATGTATGACTGTAACTACTAATGAACTGTCAGTTTTCTCATATTGGGTTTACTGGAAGAAATCTCTATTGGAGATAAGCTCGCCCTTGTGCACTATTATGTTTGTTTTTACATTTCAATAACCTTTTGTGTACAATAAAGAATAAAGAATAAATTGCTTATAATATGTACCTGTATAAATGTAAGTGGTGCAACAAACAATCCAAACATTTACGTTGTGTGGCGACAGACTATCACGTTGATTAAAAAAATCTCTAACAATTGAATTTGTCAGAGCTCGCGAACCCACGAGAGGTTGACAGTAAATTAAATAAATATTGCCAATTCGGTTACACGTTTTCCACATTTTTATTTCAATGCTTCGGTTATCGGAAGCTTCCAAATTTAAAAAATGAAAATGACTTTTTTTTATTAAAGTTTTTATTTGCAGAGTATCGAATTTTATGATTGTTTATTTATAATAATATAAAAATACAGAAATTTAATACACTTACTACGTTACTTGTTACCGACCATTGTTTCGTCATCGGAAATCAATCATTCAATCATTTCATCATCCATAAGTCTTCTCCAATAATAATAATAATAGTAAATAGATTTATTTCTCTTCACAATTCATCACAGTGAAATACAATGAGACATGCTTATGTAGTGTGTATGCGTGCGTGCGTGCGTGTGTGTGTGTGTGTGTGTGTGTGTGTGTGTCTGTGCGCGCGCGCGCGCGTGTGTATGTGTGTGTGTGTGTGTGTGCAATTGTGTGTATGTATGTGTGCGTGTATGTGTGTGTTTGAAGGTGCATGCGTGTCTCTCGCTGTGTGTATCAGTATGAGTACAATGCTTACGGGGCATTCCCGTAAGCATTGTACTCTTATCGGGTATTTACTTATCGGTTAATTCCCAGTATATAATTTTATTTTTCTTTTCATTCTGCCTTAGCGTCCATAATAACCTTGCCTTTACTTACTAATGTATATCCAGTTATGCCTGATTGTTATTTAAATATTTAAATATCATATAACTATATGTATATACGTGTTTTCATTTCATGTGTACGTATTGTATTTGTTTCTACTACGCCTAACAACTTTTGAGTTCTCTATTGTATGTATTACCATAAACTGTTTCATGCCAGGGAAGAGACCTGGTGGCTTATGATACAGGTTCTTCGGATATTCAGTTCAGCCACCAGTTCTCCACAACTTTGATATATCTATGGTATTAATTTAAATGTTTTATTGTACTCAAAAAATTGTGTGAAAAATAAATAAACATTATTAATATTATATGTATATTTGTTTGTAGTATATGTATTTATGTAATATTCTAATATATATATATATATATATATATATATATATATTTCATTTAAGTGTTTATTTATATATTGATTAGTATTAATAGTTATTCGTATTTATTTTTATTTTATTTTATTTTAGTTAGTGTTAGTAGTTGTTCTTACAGCACCCGTGCACTTCAGCTGCTCGCTAATGACATGCTTTCCAACTGTATCGAGTTGACTGGAAGAGATCTCTGTCAGAAATAAGTCCACCCTTGCTCACGATATTCAACTATGTAATTTACAAGTGCAATAAAGAATATATATAAATATTTTTTTTTGTTATATATGAATATATAAAAATTTAATGATAATTTAATTATATGTTCATAGTTACTTCATTGTATAATTGTATAATTCATTTCATTGATAATCCTACTAATATTATAAATATGTAGTATGTTTAAGTATTCAGATGATTGGATATTTAGATGCCCTTTATTCAATCATGCTTTAAACGTGACAAATTTAATATCTACTAATTATTTCCACCATTTTTAATATAGACCAAATAAGATGCATCTATGAACGACGAGAAGTAATCATTGATGTACTAAATTTAAATTATTTGAATTTAGAACAAACGCTAGTACTGCAGCTTCTTTCGTTACAACATTAATTAATATAAGACGAACTAATTATATATAAACACAACTGAAGTAATTATATATAAAATTTATTAATATCAAAAAAAGAATCATCAAAATCAATAATAATTAATAGATACAATTTTAGAACCTCTTGAACACATCAATACTCTATCGTACAGATATTATATTACTGCCACTTGATTATATTATAGAATAGCGTGAATTCAAAACACAAACATATTAACGTGTTCAACGCAGGCGTATAACTTAATTAAATTAACCCGCTCGGCAGGTGGCGATTAAACGAGATATTACAGCCGTATCAAAGCGCCGTTCGACGTAATGACAACCCGCAGGGTTGCGAATATGAGACGTGCTGTGTAAACACACGCCGGAAACTTTACACTATTTACCCATGCATGTACAAGGTGCAAGACCCCACTTCTGAATATATTCCAGATATGTATATCAGTCTATATCAACATACAATATTTAATATCGAATAATTAGTGCTATTTGAATTCGACACACGAAAATATGAGACAGATATGTGTCATTCTTAACTGAATACGTTCAATATATGATTTCGACACGCGAATATGTAAGACGTATATTAAACTAGATATTACAGCCATATCAAAGCGCCGTTCGACATAATGACAACCCGCAGGGTTGCGAATATGAGACGTGCTGTGTAAACACACGCCGGAAACTTTACACTATTTACTCATACATGTACAAGGTGCAAGACCCCACTTCTGAATATATTTAATATATGTACACCAGTCTATATAGTCGACATACAATATTTAATATCGAATAATTAGTGCTATTTGAGTTCGACACACGAAAATGTGAGACAGATATGTGTCATTCTTAACTGAATACGTCCAATATATGATTTCGACACGCGAATATGTAAGACGTATATGTGTGTGTGTGTGTGTGTTATTTTTAGACAAAATTGTACTGTAGACCGCAATAGACCGAATTTTTTGTTTGCATGCCACCTTAACGGCTTAACCAATCATTATAAAAGCGTTTGAAAACAGAATTTTCATCGTGTCTCCGATTAAACTGTTTATATTTACTCCTCTCTATGCGAAGGTTGCCTGAAAGAGATCGCTTTAAGCGATAAGCTCGCCCATTGTTTTCTCACTGTGATAATTTCTTATAATTGTTTGTATCTATAATAAGTTTACTATTGTAATCTTTTGGAAGAAACAATAAAGGGTATCTATGTATCTATGAAATTTGGTTTAAATAAATAAAATAAAATAAAAATGTTTATTTGGGATCCTTAGCTTAATTTACAGTTTTTTGTAGGTTCGATAATAACTGCATTAGTCACAAAGAGACTGTGTCGCAGCTATTAACGCCCGCTCCATAACATGCGGTACAAAATTTAAATAACAATAACACAGGAGAAAATTAATAAAATTACTAAAAATAAAACTAATCAATGGATTTTGTACGAGTGTGTGTGTGTGTGTGTGTGTGTGTGTGTGTGTTTGTGCGCGTGCGTGCGTGCGTGCGTGTGCGAGCATGTGTGTGTGTGTGTGTGTGTATGTGCATGTTTAATTTTAATAATTAAACCTTGATCAATGATTCGACATCATCATATTCAAGAGTCATTAGCCAATTAATCAATTTTATTTTGCAATCACGTAAAGAAAGTGGATATATTGTTAATAACATATTTATTTTATTATATAACTTGTTACTCATGTACTTATATTGACGGTTCACTACATCTAAACGACATTTATCAATTTTACAAACTTTATAAGTAATTCTTTTGTCTATAAGTAATAAGGAATCATATGGAAGGGACTTATGTTTACGCAGTATGGACATCAGTACAAATAACTTTCTTACACTATTTACTTTCCATAGTGCGAACAGATCTTTTGTTGGATACCTGATGGGTTTAAAAGCCATAACTTTTAATACTGCTCGCTGAGCTCTTTCCAATCTTAGCATTTGCGTTTTATTAAAAGCTCCCCATGCAGTTATACAATAACCAATAATGGATTGTGCAAGTGCAAAATAGGCAGTTTTCAAAATTTTGAAATCAGCACCATTTCTCAATTTTTTAAAAACGTAAATTAGCTTTCTAACACGTGTGATTACAGATTCAATATGTCTATTCCAAGACAGCATACTATCTACAATTACACCAAGGTATTTGAAATTGTCTGTTCGTGATATAGAGAGGCAATCACAATCAGAATTACCTATGGTATTACATTTGTGTGCTAGTATTTTAAAAGATGTGTCTGGTTGGGAGATCTTGTTGGGAGAAAATGTTACTAATTTGGTTTTATTTAAGTTTAGCGTTAGAAGGTTTTG